TATTTGTTGGGAAAATGATTTATCTAAATTTTATAACAAAGCAATATAAAAACTATTTGTGGGCAAAATGATTAATTTAAATTTTATAAAAAAAAAAGTAATATACATATAAATACTATTTATGGGAAAAATGATTCATCTAAATTTTATAACAAAGCAATATAAACACTATTTGTGGGGAAAATGATATACCATTTAAAAGAGAAATTTATGATTGTTCATGAAATATAATCATTTTCCTGGCACATTAACATCTACAGGGTGAATTGTAAGGTATAAGAGGGATGGGGTAGCAGCATTGTTATAGGAAATAATCAATCTTTATCCATAGTAAATTGTTCCTACAATTTGAGTTAAACTAAAATGTTAGTTAAAATTGTCCCTAAAATTGATTTTAGTTAAAATTGTCCCTAAAATATTTTTGTGAAACGCCACTATTTCAAGGTAAAGGGCCAATCTCGATTATATTTTGGAGAATAAAACGGGGTAGACTAATCAACGGAAATCACTTACAAACACCGGAATTCACTTTGAAGATATCAGAAGACCTTCCTATCTACTTATATTTTGCATTAATATTATTGAATTACTTAAAAAACACCAAAAATTCACGAAATTCACTTTGAAAACATATAAACACCGGAATTCACTTTTAAACTATCAGAATTCGCACTTAAGACCTATTTATAAAGCGCTGAATATCCAACAAACGAGTTGCTCAAGAGCGCCATACTAATTCCTAATCACTACATGTAATCTTTTGCATTAATAATAAATTACTTTAAAACACCTAAAATCATCGGAATTCACATTGAAAGCATATAATCACCGGAATTCACTTTCAAAATAACGGAATTTGCGCTTAAGACATTCCTATTTACTAATATTTTACATTAATAATAAATTACTTTAAAGCACAAAAAAACACCGGAATTCACATTAAAAACATATAAACACCGGAATTCACTTTCAAAATATCGGAATTCGCACTTAAGACCTTCCTATTGAATAATAGTTTGCATTAATAAATTACTTTAAAACACCGGAATTTACTCTGGGAAAGTCGGAATTCACTACCAAGACAACTGTATTTACATATATTTTGCATTAATAGTAATATTAGAATGTATCTGTTGTAAAAAAAATAAAAATAAATAAAAAAAATCCCATAAAACAAGTCAAGAACTCGACCATTAATACGTCTAGCGAGGCGGTTAAACGATATTTCCAGATGGCCAACTCGGTAAAGACAATATGTTCAGAACGCAGCAGTATTCCATGTAAAATGTCAAACCAAACATTTCTCAAATATGAAGCAAAACATTCTCATTGTAGATGAGCTACCTGTAAGTTAAATTAATTCGAAAATTAACTCGGTGATAATAAGCCAATCAAATAAAGTCTCATACTGATTATCCCTTAAATCAACACCTGATGTGTTGACGTGTTCATTAGTTATTTAATCTGCAGTCGATATGAAGTTCAGATTTATATTCAACCGGTTTGTTAACAGGGACCGTTTGCTGATTGTCTCTAATCAGACAGGAAATTACTACATTACACACAAAATAAAGACAAGCATGGCAAAGCCCGTCTGTGGGCTACTCCTGGGCATAAAATGATATAAATTGATCGATCGCATTTACCTACACCGACCGGGTCAATCAAAGGGGGATGGTCTTGCCATTTATGTCAAGAACAACCTCCCATTCAACAGATTAACAGTTAATCAACCAAATAAATTAGAGTTAATGGCAATTAACATTGTTATAGGAAATAATCAATCTTTAAGCATAGTAAATGTCTATAACCCGCCAAATACCAAAACAATAACTAAGGATTACGATAGGATTTTCAAACGAATTCCGGGTGACAACATAGTCATATGTGGGGACTTCAACTGCCATCACACGACATGGGCCTCACCCGCGAGCGACACAGATGGAAACAAACTGTACGAGTGTGGTAGCCGAGCTGACAAGACGTGTCTTGATAGCTCTCCCTCTACTGGCGTTTATAAAGAGCTATTTATTTAGTGTCCGACAATGGCCATCTCATCTTTTGTATAGATACGACCCAGATACCCTGTAATGGATTAATATCTCAGAGTTGATAATTGTATAAACTATTCGAGTTCTACTGTGACAAGACATTTGAATTCTCAGTGTTGGTGTCAGCCATATTGTCATGGCCGGTCTATGGCCACCGTGATTCACCACCTTTAAACTCTAATTAAGACCACATGCAAGCTGTTGAAGTGTTTTATTGACAATGAGTTACATAAAATCGACAAAGATGACAATTAACCCTAATGGGGAGATGAGTGTAACAAACCGTATAATTCGTGACAATACTGTTGAACTGATTCCCGACGATGATAACCCCTCCACTGGTATTGCCTCAGTAGACATATTATATTTCCTACAAGCTAAGGATTTTGACATCAGCAATATAAAATGTCTCCAAAATGTAGGTAAGGGCAAGTTTTGCCTAACTCTTAAGGATATACTTGCCAAGGAGTTATTTCTTGAGAATCTCAAGACCTTCTCAGTGAAGAATTGCAATTATACAGTAGAGTCGGCTGGAAACATCACATGGGACTACCCTGTTGATTCAATTCCTGTTGCGGTCTTCGGCCTACCATTCGAAATGGACAATAATTATCTGGTTAACAAATTGACGAACTATTGTGAATTGGTTAAATGTGACAGATCCTGCTTCAAACCATTTCCAACGGTCGAAAGCGGTGTTAGAATTGTTTATGTAAAAAAAATGTTTAAACCTATTCCATCGCACATTTATATAAAAGGGATACGTATCCATTAAATATGAGGGCCAAACTAGGGGCAAAATTTGTTACAACTGCGGCCTGCATGGGCATCTTGGCCGTGAATGTACAAAACCAGACAAAAGATATAGTCTGCCAACCAACCCCAATGCACCAAATCCTGATGATCAAATGGAATTTCCTGCCCTTCAACCCCAAACTAGTCCAAACAGTGCTATAGTATCTGCTGATATGGCCACTGAACCCACCCATAATATTGATAATATTTATGAACCTAATCATGAGCACCTAAATATCAATAACCATGTCTTAGGTTATGACCCTAGTGAAGACAATAACCCTGGTGTCAATAATATTATCCCCTCAAAAAATAATACGACAAAAACAAATGTCTATAATTCTGGTCAAGTCAAACCCGCAAACCCAGGAAGTCTAAACCAGGACTTAGCTACTCTAGACTCCATAAAAACAACAGTAGTCAACAATGACATTCCTATCACTACCGATACAACAAATGTTATCCTCAGCCCTGATAGCCATTTTATCAATGATGTTAATAAGTCTATTATTGATACATCTATCCTCTAAATAACTTTGACCCACTGAGGATCCTGTGTTAATGGGGGTGGAAGAAACATGACCAATGTTTCTTCCACCCCCATTAACACAGGATCCTCAGTGGGTCAAAGTTATTTAGAGGATAACAGTATCATTGACAACTCATCCCATGATATCCCTGAAACATCGCAGTCAAATCTTAACTATGACGCTGATGTCTCATTGTTAAATAACTCTACAGTCACTAAGTGTGACACAGTAAGTAAAAGGGAAAGAAGCCTTGATAGTTTATCCGAAACAGAAATAGATGATAAAAGGGCGCGAGCGGAATCCCCGCTTACCGAAACAGAAGTTTAGAGATCAAACAAATTAAGACGTTATAAGTTCTTGAAACCATATTAGTTAACAATGAAGCCTTCTATCCCTATTATTTACCTAATTATTATGTTAATTTACTCCATAAACGCTCTACAAGGAAATCTTCAAAAGATTAAACAAATTAGCAATATATTTAACAAACTAGATATTGTTTGTATACAAGAAATTCTATTATTAAGCCCAAACATTATACATAAACTCTACAATACACCTGATGAATTAGCAGGTAGGCTCCAACATCTGGAGGTAAATGCAAATAATGAAACTATTCAAATATTCAATATATATGGTCCCTGCAAGAGAGAATTGAAAACTTATTTCTACAAGAGACTTCTTGAATATGTCAAAACTATTCATAATCCACAACATTCTTATATTATTACTGGTGATTTTAACCTTATTGAAAACAGTAAAGATAACAAACATGGCAACATGAATAACCATCCAAAAGATGCTATAAGATATCTACTTGATATACAAAATCTACTTAATATAAGTGATGGTTACAGAATTATCTCCCCTGACACTCCCCTTTTTACCTATCACAACTCACAAGGACATGCTAGCAGATTAGACCGCATTTACATAAGTAATAAATATGCAACTTACATCAAATCAATTAAACATATACCACTTCATTTCACTGACCATAAAGCAGTGGAACTAAATATCAACCTTAATCTTAAATGGGGTAAAGGATATTGGAAACTTAACAATTCTATTCTAGATGATAAAAACTACCAAAATCAAATTAAAACATTCTGGTCAAGCTGGCAAAACAAAAAATACCAAATCATTGACAACATACAATGGTGGGAAAAAGGTAAAGCCGCCATTAGAAATATTACACAAAATTACTGTCAAGCCTTAGCAGTTGAGAACAAACATATCCTCAGTAACCTTTATTAACAACTGGAATCCCTAGAAAATGAAATACCTAGTAAGAATAACTCTATAAACGAGATTAAATCAAAAATTGAGCTTATAGAATATAATACCAAACAAGGCTACGTTATACGTTCAAAATTAGAAATACCCCAAATTGATGTATCTACTAATTCTAAAATATATAAATTAGCAGAAGTTAAAATGGGTGCAAAAAAACAAATTAAACAACTGATCAATCAAAATAATACAATCTGTGACAATAAACAAGATATATTAGACACAATTCACCAATTCTACCAACAACTATATACTTCTCAAAATATTAATGATAACTTAATGAAGTCCTATATCGAAAACAGTGACATAAACACACTAACAAACACGGAAAGAGATTCAATATCACATTTTATATCTAGAGATGAAGTCCTTAAGGCGTTACAAAAATTTAGAACAAACCGTAGCCCGGGTATAGATGGTATTCCAGGAGATTTCTACATAAAATTCTTTGACATTATAGGAAACGATTTAACAGAAGTATTAAACAACATCTATCTACAGGGGGAATTATCTAACACAATGAGAACTGGTATCATAACAATTAACTACAAGAATGAAGGCGACCATCGATTACTCAAGAACTATAGACCGATAAGCCTGTTATGTGTGGACTATAAAATCATAACAAAAATTCTAAGCACAAGAATAAATTCTGTTATTAACAAATTAATCTCTAATACACAAACAGGAGCTGGACCAAATAAAAGCATTTTTGATAACCTATATTCAATAGATACAATACTAAATTATATAAACACAAATGAGTCCAGTGCCTATATATTATCATTTGACCAAGAAAAACCTTCGATCGCATTGAACACAACTATATCATAAATCTACTTAAACATATTAATTTCCCAAATTACATCCTTAACTGGATTACAATATTGTTTAAAAACTTGATTAGTAAAGTCCAAGTAAATGGATCCTTTTCCCAAAATATTAAAATTAACCGATCGATTCGTCAAGGATGTCCACTATCCATGATTCTATACTCATTGTGTATCAACCCCCTTGCTTCATACATAAACAAAAACATCCTCATAAAAGGCATCAGGATCCCTAACCACCCTTCAGAGATTAAGTTATTTCAGCATGCAGATGACTGTTCTGCTATAATATCTAGACTTTCTTCATACAGCACCCTCCTCGAACAATTCAAAACATTTGGCTCTATATCTGGCTCCAAACTAAACCATGATAAAACTGAAATCCTTTCTGTTGGAAAACCATCACACTACTCCTATCCTGTAAATATAAATATTAATATTAAAACAGACGCTATAAAATTACTAGGCATTTGGTTTGGCTCAAATAAAATGGAAAAGAACTGGCTACCCCTTGTTCAAATAATCAATTCAACCATCCAGACATGGGAAAATCACTCTCTTTCATATAAAGAAAAAGTATGCATCTTAAACACCTATATACTCAGCAAACTATGGTTTGTTGCTAGTATAGTTCCTCCCTCAAACTCAATTATTAAAAACATAAATAAAATAATCTACAATTTCATCTGGGAAAATAAAAGTGAAACAATTAATCGAAACACCTTGAACCTAGAGCATAAAAATGGTGGCCTTAAAGTGCCAAACATTCGACTAAAAATCCAGGCAATGCTACAACAACTTATAGTAAAAGCAATCAAAGACAACAACAGTCCCTGGTTAGGCCTATACATATACTGGCTAGGATTTACTACAAGGGATACTCTGCCAAGATATGCATCCAATAATTATACCCACTCGGAAAAACTCCCCCAATCATATATAGATATAAAAGAAACTTACAATAGCCTCAAATCATCCATCAAATATACATACAATACAAAACTTAAAGACATATACTGGTCCCTAATTGACTTATTACAGACACAACCAAAAATAAATAAACAATTACCTCATGTTGACTTTTCAAAAGTCTGGACAAACCTCTATAAATGCTCCTCCTTATCTGAAAAAGAAAAGGATTTCATGTATACAATCATCAATAATGCAGTACTAACAAAAGATATTATGCTATACAGAAATATATATACTATCAACTATAAATGCCACTATTGTAACCGAGCAACTGAATCTTACCATCATTTATTTCTGAATTGCCCCAAATTAAAATTCTATAAATGTTTCATTACTACACATATAAACAACATTCATCTCACCAAAGAATTCAAAATCAACAACAATACAATCCATCTACACAATATAAAATCTAAATACATTCATGATATATACCTATACCTGTCGATCATATGGTCTAACCGAACACACCCTCTATCCACCAATATTTCACAAGAGCTTATATACCAATTCTATACAAAAAGAAAACAAAAATAAAGATTACTCTCTTAAGCTCGAGTCTTCACTACCTTATGACCCTCCTTAAGCCTAGGTTTGTGTCGTCATGTCTGAATTTATACTCTGCAACTTCTCCCATGAAATATTGACTTTGCTACTATAATAAGTAGCTACAACCATAGACATCTTCTTATATTTCTTTCGTATATGAGCACTCATTGCAATTTTTAGTAAGAATGTAGGCCTACAAGCGAAAATAACCAAACACCTGTAGGCCTACAGGCCTGGAAAATTTTGGCTTAATTGATAAACCAACATTATACAAAAGGAAATACAATCGAAATCACCAAGCTTCAGCCTACTCTGCCTTCAGAGAACCAACAACAAAGGGATGAACAACAGAAATAAAGACGAAATCAACCACAATACCGGACAACAAAACCAAATGGAAGGAAGAATGTTTACGTTTGTCCAAATGTTCGTCAATATTCATGTCTGTTTCGTTATAAATCCGTCTGTTTGTCAATGTCTACTGGCACTCCTTATTCTTGCACCTGTTATCTCACGCCCCGTCCTGTTACCTATTGTCGTCTCGTACATATATATATAAACCTAAATATCCCTTTTCCACTAATCACATTGTAAATATTTCACTGTGTATAATAACATGTAATTGTCTGCCATATCACTTAGGTGGAAGCGTACGTAAAACTTCTATTTCACATTACCTACACCTTGTCTGCGATATCACCTCGGTGGAAGCGGGCGTTAAATAAAGCTATTTCACACACATTACCTACACTTTGCTGTCACATCACGTCTCGTCCTGTCATTTATCGTTTCTGTTCATATATATAAAAACCTAAATATCCTTTTTTCCACTAATCACATTGTAAATATTTAAACTATGTATATAGGTCCCGTGTAAACATTGGAATGCACGTAAAAGATCCCTTGGCAGTTGGAATTCGATATAAGAGTAGGCGATAGTGCCGCTGCCCGGGCAAAATTTCCCTCATAGCACACTGTATGGCGTATGCCCGTCTTCATTAGCCCAGTATAGGAGCAGAACAGTAGGACGTTAAACCCCATTTCATTTGATTTCATTTCATTTAAACTATGTACATATAACATGTAATTGTCTGTGATATCACTTCGGTGGAAGCAGACGTTAAATAAAGCTATTTTACACACATTACCTACAACCCACTCGCAATCACGGCTACTCGTAGAAAGATTAAATACTCTAGTACAAGGTCCATTTTTGGCCTTGCGGTGTGTGCAGGCAAGATTGTGAAAAGACTAAAAATATCTTGTCCTATTGTTGTGGTAAGATTGTGAAAATTTGACTGAGTTGGAGTTTACCTTTTTTCGCCAATATTCTGGTATTGCCTTTACCGGCTCGTTCTATATAAGGACCCCGAATATCTCGAAAACGCCCCAACGGCGGACGGATTACAATTCGGCATCGTATTCTACGTATTTTATGTAATCTGTGGAAAGAGCGAAATAGTTATTTATTAGACAATGCAACATACGTTATCATAAATTTGAAATGAATTCCGGTAGTCTTTCAAATAAATACAGCTACAACACCTTCATCGGGTCTGTGCAGAAATTAAAATAGTTATTCATTATATTATTATGTATTATGAATTTAAAATAAATTAGTTTTGTGGGAGGATTTAATGCAAAATATGAGTAAATACAACTGTTTTGGGTGCGAATTCCGATTTTCTCAAAGTGAATTCCAGTGATTTTCGGTGTTTTTAAGTAATTCATTATTAATATTAATACCAAATATATGTAAATAGGAAGGCTTTACGTGCGAATTCTGATATTTGCAAAGTGAATTCCCGTGAATTCCGGTGTTTATAAGTGAATTCCGGTGATTAGTCTACCCGGATAAAACTGCTTAATTTTGTGTTAAAAGCCCCTAAAATCCTCTACCTTAGGGCCGAGCAACTTATATACGTGATATGTTTTCAAACAACTTAAACCTGTCAGTCTTCATCTGGAAATGGAGACTGGTGTCCCAAGCTGTAGTATACAGTGTTTGGATAAAACCAGACTTTTATTTTAATAAATGTACGTGTAGGTGAAATCTACCACAGCACGTGGGTCATGCACCGTACAGACCTCTAAAGAGAGGCAATAGATTATCAGATCATCCAACGAAAAAATTGACACAAAGTCTTTGAAATGTTACGTGTCCAGGTAAGCGGTTTTGAAGTTCGCGTCCAAACAACTCAATATTTTAACCTGAAATTTTGCGACACGGTAAATACACCATTCCTTTACACATTGACGCTTCAATTTCATCGGTAGACGGGCTTTTATTTCTGAGACTGTTAAAATCGGGATGGTCCCTTTAAGATAAAATTTTAACTTAAAATATTATTTTACTGGATATTATCTAAAATGCTTAATTAAAATCGTTTTGTGAAACTCGTCTATCTTAAGTTTTACATAAGCCTTATAAGACATATATAAATAGATTTCACTAAAAATTAACACACTTATATGGATATACTACTTATGAATTTTATTAACATGCTACGTTTCAATACACATACAGGTATCGTTATCAAGCAAATATGTATCGTCTTCATAATGTGACATAAACCGATATGTATTTGTTACTGGTGTAACTGGGCCAGAGGGATGCAAGATATCTCGTCAGCCCCGTATATATATTGTTTCTAAACTTAGTTACCTACATTACTTTGAAAATTGTATGAAACGTGTCAGTAATAAAATAATCATCTAGAATGGACGCATTTACTTTATTTTATATATATACATGTATATATATAGTAGAATTGTTAATTAATGCTGCTCTTTGGTAATATATAATTGAAATTAAAAATGGCAAAATAAACTACATTTTTATGCTAAAGTTTTTACCGCGATAGCAGCTCTTCAGGAATTGATTAATTACAATGTTCCGTTCATAGAATGAGCTGTCCATCATTACTATAGCCCCTCCCTTGTCAGTTTGTTTGACAATTATATTTGGATTGTTCATCATCTCGTTTAAAACCGTTAGCTCACCCTTACTTAAATTTTGTTTGTAATGTCTTGGCTGAATTTTGTGAGATGCAATAGTAGTAATGAAGTGATCTAGATGTGCATCTTTTCCTGAAATGAAATGAAATGGGGTTGAACATCCTACTGTTCTGCTCCGAACTGGGCTAATGAAGACGGGCATACTCTATACAGTGGGTTATGAGGGCAATACGGCCTACTCTTATATCGAATTCCAACTGTCAACGGATCTTTTACGTGCACGCCAATGAGTACACAGGACCTCGGTTTTTCGCCCAATCCGAACGACTAGACAGCTGTCCTTGTCAGGCTCTCCGTCCTGCATCACTGACAAGGGGCAGAGGGAAGGGGGCGAACCACGCCGGAAGATCTGGATGAACTTTCTCGGCCAATGCAGGGATCGAACACCCGACCTCCAGGCTAGCGAGCCAGCGTCTTACCCATTTAGCTCCGTGACCCCGCATCTTTTCCTAATCTTGGTGTAAAGTTTGATTTATTTTTAACGAGACACCCCGATTCAGTGATAATGCGTGTAGTTTCATTTAGGTCACCCTCATCATCTTTGTGTATTCTTTCCTGCAGAATTGGTAAATGTCAGACCGTAAAACACAGTTATAACTTCGGGAAGTTGGCGTAAGTTTAAGCCCCTTTTAAATAAACGAATATGACCCAGAGTGAGTTTCACGCTGCTTAGGTTTATGACGACATGATCTACATTTTACGGCGGGGTTCCACTTATTGACATTCATCGTTTTTACGATACGACTGTGCTTTGGCATTGGCCGTTCGGTGTAAACACGTCTGTTTGAAGGTTGCTTCTTATTTCGAATCCTTTTCATTTTGTCGCCTGAGTTGGCCTTAACTCCCTTAACATCGTGTGTTGTTTTCGGTTCTTTGTTATGTTCCGGCTCTTCATCGATCACTTTGAAGTAATCAGATCCGTATTTATCTGAATACTTGACAAGCCATTCTTTTCGTTTGGTCCAGGTTGACTCAGCTTCACTTTGATGGAGCAAGCATTCAGATTGCCATTTCTTTATTTAATGCATGTTCGCAAAATACTACAGTGAATGTGCTGATCGATGCGTTGCCATTTAGCTTTAAAACTCGCGGCATTGATCTTCATAGTTTCAATTTGAGCCTTGAATTTATTGATAGCTAGGTCAAGTCGTATATTAATGACAGGTTTTAACCGAAATTTAAGTGGTATTAATGGGTTTTCCCTGATTACCCATTCTTCATATACTTTTGTATATTGTTCCGTATGATAGTATTTCATCGTCTGTGATTCGATTTTTGTGCGTTCCATATTTTGTTTATTTCGTTTCGGTTTCCTGTCTGTAACATCATTGTTTTTTTTAATGTTACTGATGATGCCCACTATCTTCGAAAGTATTTCGGGAATATTTTGTTCATCTATAAATCTTTCAACAAGCATAAGGTTTAATCTTGTTTAACTTCTATTTGTCCGAACGGAACATCGTCATTAATAAATGCCCGAAGAGCTGCTATTGCGGTGGAAACGTTAGCATAAAAATGTAGTTTTATTTTGACATCTTTAATTTCAATATATATATATGTATATTATAACATATATTTTTTGTATAATAAATGAAATACAATGGGTTTAACGTCCTACTTTTCTGCAAGAATTTGGTGGGCAGATACAATGAGCTGTACTGCGAGGGAAATTTTTGTCGGATAGTGTCGTTTCCGCCTACTCTTAATCTAAGTTTCTTTAACATGCACACCAACGAGTAAGAAGTGAACCTCGGCTTTTTCATCCAGTCCGAACGACTAGACACTTTTGCTTGGGATGCCTCGATCTAACCCGGCTTGTTAGAGATTCACCACCTCATTCAGTGAGCCAGGTGTAATATACTAAGCAGCAAAAGAAACGTCAGGTTGGTATGTTACTCTAAATAGACGCATTGCATAAAATTTGCCAAATGATTTTATTATATATTTGTCACCACATCTCCAACTTTACCTGAGCAATAAGGCTCCTTCCCAAACACAGAATTGAAGCCAGGAAATGTTCTCAAAAACGCAACCTGACTTGTAAGATGGTAATGTGTTTTCCATGATTTTCATGTAACTCATGCTGCACGTGCTGTTCACCGGGACCAGCCCTATAAAATGCACCCCATACCTGGTTGAATTATTCACACTACAACGGCAGCAGCATGCCACGACTCACGACAGCTCAGAGGAACCAGGCGCTCTGAAGATTGGACGCTGACCACACTGCCCAAGCCGTTGCCAATCACTTAAAGGTCAATGTTCGGACCATCTACAGTCTTCAGCAACACTTTCGGGCCACCAACACCACGGATGATCGCGCCCGAAATGGTAGACCAAAGTTTACCACAAGGCGACAAGATCGCCATGTTGTGCTACAGCCCGTGCAGATGCCCTTCAGACAGGCATCTGAGACAGTACGCCATACAGTGGGAACACACGGAAGACCCTCAAGGTACCGATACAGTGCGCCGACGTCTCACCAGAGAGAACATCCATTGCCGTAGACCTTACCGAGGGCCGATCCTCACCCCTCGCCAACGACGTGAACGTCTACAGTTTGCCCAACAACACCAGTTCTGCATGATTTTGACAGGAAACTTTAAGGAAGCAAAATAGAAAAACAAAATCCAACCGCGACTATGTCAAACACCAAAATATCCAGGTAATTAATTACATAGACTATTCGTTTATTTTTTCCAATTCGCCGGGGAGCAGGTAATTAAACAAGGGCCTAAAATAGAGTTTTGCACAATTATGACTCCAAATATAATGGAGAGAATAACCGGCGTGGATGTTTTTTGATGAACCGTTCCATAATGTCATCGATATCTAGCTCGAAAGTATAGTTAACGTTCATTAGGACTAAGCTTGTCAGACGACCATCCGTCATAATAGAACGCGTTGGCGTTTTGTGGCGTCTAACAGAAGAAAATGACCGTTCTGCCTCACAACTTGTCACTAGAATCAAACAACTGATTTGTAGCAGTCTATATATATTGGGGAAATTATCTTTGGAACACTGATTTAGACTGTCTATCAACGTGATAGGAATCGCGTGGTCTGTGCACACTTTTCGTATCCAGCGCCCCCTCCATATTTAGAGTTCGTTCTGTAGGCTAGATGGTGCGGGTAAATCATCATCATACCATTTCGTTAGAGATTCAGAAATTGAGGACAAGTCAGGTACACTACAACCGCTGATAATATTGGGTATGAGCGACATCAGTTGCCGTAAAACAGATGTATCGTCAGGGAACCGGTCGGTCAACTGACTACTGACGTCATCAATGAATGGTATAACAATACTTCGTAAATAATAGTCCTTTGGTGTTGCGGAGGGGGGTGTGGCCCTGTGAATTATTTTTCCTTTAGCTCTTTTCATCTTTTCTTCACGCGATAACTTCTCAGCCAATTTCAATATCTCACTGTACCATGAATTGTATATTTCATCTATTTCTTCTCTCAGCATTCTAATATCTGCTCTCGATTCTTTGATATTATAGGCACTGTAGATGTCTAAGTCTCGTTTTGCAGGCTTTCCGTAATATCCCTAATCGAATTCACCTAGACTTGATAAGATTCGCTGGGCGTTGATTTTAGTGTCAGCATCCTAAGCCCACTTTTCATCAATCAATGCACAAATCTCCTCATCATCCCTGTACAGATGTGGATTTACCATTATATCACTGGCGATAAGAACCGACTCTGATAAATCTATAAAATTATCGATCGCTTTGAACCTCTCCACCCATCGTGTCTTACAAAGTCCCTTCAATTTATGCCGATTTCGCTTCACCTTTTCGTCAGTGCCTTCACGAGCTGCCAGCAGGTCACTAATTCTCACTAGGAATTCTTGGCGCTTATGGGAAGCATAAAAAACCCAGAAAACACTCATTTCCAACCGTTATATAGTTTCTTATCTGTTGTAGCTTCCATGCAGACGCAATAAGTAGGTTTAGTCTATGACTATAACATGGAGTATACAGAGCATTTTGGACGTCCCTTTTAATGATACCTTGAAGACCATTATTCCCCGAAGACATAGCTGAAGTTGTATCATACGCTTGCCCACGTATATTCAAAGGATTCAGCCCACAATCTTTCTTATCTTGTTTGATTGTTTCGGCTATTGATGCTGCTTTACCCCTTTTCAAATAGTTGAACTTAACCAATCCCTCTTCTATGCTGTATTTACCACCCTGACACTTGAGGTATCTCAGACATAAAGACAATACACTTTGGTTGGCCACGTCATCAGTTAGTTCATCAGCGATGATAGTATAGTAAGGACAAGTCTCTTCATTAATTTCATCTGTTACACTTTCGCGAATTTTATCACCAATTATCGCTAGGATTTCATTCTGAATGGTCTTCGATGTATAGTTTGCGTTTTTAGGACATGAGTTCAAGAATTCGCGAAGTTTCTCGTCGGTTTTCGCCCTAAACTGTATCAGAGCTTTAAGATTGTCCTGGTTACTTCCTTCCTCTGCTGTACTGTTATCATGGTGACCACGGAATGCTAGTGCATGTTTACCGAGAAATATCATGCAGTCGATGATACTACGTAAGGCGGCTGTGTTCTTCTCATATAATGCTTTTTTCTGCTGCATGAGTTGAACATCAACCCTGTTCTGAATATTCTCAGAATTTGATAAACAGATTTCTGCGTCTGCAACGGCGTTCTGGTGATAGGTTTTGTTTCGTGCTCAGGTAGGTAGCCTAATTTACCCTTACCTCTACTACCCAAGGCATTGCTGAACTTGGTCATAGGTTTAGTGACTAACTGCCCGAACTCGAGTCCTCTCCCACCGGCATGCCGAGAAAATAACACACACGGTAAACAGTAGCCTCCATTATGCGAGGGAGAGTACGCCAACCAAGAATACTTTGTTAACCACGAGGACTGAAAGGCCAGTTTGCCTCGGCGCTTCAGAAAATTGTAAGTGGCGGGAGGCCTGAAACGATTTTTCAGGTACTTGATTTTGTCACTATCGGATATTTGAGACCTATCGCCACCCTTACCAATGTCACTGTAAGGTGACAGTGCAAGTGAGGGCACAAGATTGGTAGGTACCCCCCCCCCCCCCTTCACTTTCTTGACGTATCTCATCACCATTATTGTCATCATTACCGCTCTCATTTTCATCAACATTTTTATTACTACGCGAATGTTCTACTTTTTCATCATTTTCATCAGTATTATCGTTAGTTGCGAACACATCATGCTTAGCGTTGTCGCTCGGTTACTCCCCAGACCTTCGCGACTTCTTTGCAGTGGGAAAAAAATGAACCCAAGTTGCTCTGTCGCATCAGGTTACGGTCAATAACCGGTGAAAATTTAGCAAGAAGAATTTTGAAATCTAAAATGAAAGTGTTCGTACAACACGACTATACCAATCTACATTATTGAACACTCGTCCCGAAGGAAATACACGTACTGGAAATATGTCGCTAAACTTAGTCCGTGTAGGTTTCCTCTCATATAGGACATTCATTTTTAAGGAAATGCGACAATTGACAATGCATGGTGCCACCATCGTCTCCAAATTACGTAGGCAGGCCACATATATACACTAAGCTTTTTAAAGAGAGGAATCCAACACCCCGTTTGACATGAATTTTTATTATGAATTATTACGATCACAATATAATTGTGATATCACATATTATGTCTTTATCATTATCTCACGTTTTTTTGAATATCAATCCTACCCTACCATCTGATGATAAAGGACGAAGCACATGACCGTGAATTATTTCTCATAAAAAGTGTTGACAATTTTTTTTTATGTAGCTGAGCAGGGGGGGGGGGGGGCGTTTTTTTTTTTTTACCCCCCCCCCCTCTGGATCCGGCCCTGGAGAGAGAGTAGGCGGTAAACCTCAGCAGATTCCGATATCCTACATCTAGCCTCGGCTGTATGACGAAGTCCGCCATTAGAACTACTTTCAAGTTCCCGGATTACCAACGGCGTTGGCCATGACGACGCCTTTGAAGAATATTTTATCATACAAATATTTCAAAGTCTTGAAGCTGTTTTTCTTTTAAGTTTATCCGATTTTCTTCAAACAAGGACAACTTTGCAGTGATAATTATAAATACGCTTTGAACGACGCAATCTTGATAACTTATTTTTAAAAGCGGCAAGTTTTCCTAATAAGTAAACCGGTGCCGCATCGCAATTGTATAGGCGTAGATACAAATCACTTACCGAGGCTAGATGTAGAGTAACGGAATCTGCCGAGGTTTGCCGAGAGAAAGAGAGAGGGAAAGAGATGGGGTTTAACGTCCATTTGACACAAACTAGGTCATTTCGGGACGAAACTAACATACGGTTCGATTTTATTTCAATAATTCGCTTGCGCGTAGGGGTCTTTAGCAGTGGGAGGAAACCAGAGGACCCGGAAAAAACCCCACGAGGTTGGACAGGCGACCCTACAACCGGGGAATCGAAACCACACCAGTTAACTCAAATGACTCAATGACATCGCCCCCCCCCCCCTCCTCCGTAATTTAACTCAGCGCCCACTTCCAGCGGAATTTAAATGGGTATACGTTTTTTTTTTAAATTAACAGATTGATGTCTGTAAATAACTTAATTGTCGGATAATTGTATCAATTGCAAAGAATCACCATATTAAAGCATTCTTAGATTTTCTAGAGTGAACAATCGGGATTTTTCAGTTTATTAATAAACTGAAGTAATTATATGATATGCATAGTACTGTTTTGCTCCGACGGGGCTAATGAAGACCGACATTCGCCATACAGAGTGTCATGCGGGAAAATTTGTCCGGACAGTGGCGCTATGGCCTACTCTTATATCAAATTCCAACTGTCAAAGGATCTTTTACGTGCATGCCAATGTGTGCACGGGACCTCGGGTTTTCTCCTATCCGAATCCTTCTCGGCCAACACAACGATCGAACATGGGACCTCTAGGTTAGCGAGACAACGTCTTACTCACTGAACGACCGGATGCACCATTAATATCCATATTTTCTTTGTTGCACATACATAATTATTAAATCCATTATATAGTATTACCCACCTCGCCTACGACACATGACCGTCTGTCTACAATTAGCTCCTCTTGAGAACTAAGTAGATAGTCACTTTAAGCGGCAGACTAAAAATGTCTGTGATGATCAACTTTCAAGTTTAGTTTTGAGGGTTCGTTTTTGTCGGGATTTGAAACAGTGAATAATATATGTATTCTAATAATTACTTGTTGAACAAAAATATGACACATTGAAAATCCCTTTCAGAAAATATCCAATATGTTCTGTATATTCATTTTGAAAAAAGACGAAACCTTTGAGGCTTAAACAAAATAAACATAAAGAGAAGGTACATGTTGTAAACAATTCTACATTGCGACAAAAAATGGGTGCAGTGTCCATTTACAATCTCCACGCAGCACAATTACAGTTCATATGATTTTAATACAGATTATAGTTCAATCGTCCGAAGATTCCACAAAGGTTACTATTTGCCGTCTTTCCCATGGTTATAACACAAAGTTGTATTTAAGCGACATTTTCACTATCACTAGACGTTGATTCACCGTGGATACGACTACGACTCAGATCAACTTTCAAGTTTATCTGGTGCTCTTTCGGGTAAAGGGGGGTTGGATGGCTGAATGATTAGCACGTGCGCGCTGTATCATAAAGTCTGTCATTGAGTCAACTGGCGTGGTTTCGATTCCCTGGTTGTACGTGACAAGGAGTAGGGTCGCCTGTCCAACCTCGTGGGTTTTCTCCGCGTCCTCCAGTTTCCTCCCACTGCTAAAGACCCCTACGCGCAAGCGAATTATGGAAATAAAATTCAACCAAATGTTAGTCCCGAAATGACCTAGTTTGTGTCGAGTGTACGTTAAACCCCATTTCTCTCTCTCTCTCTCTCTCTCTTTCGGGTAAAGTATAATGTATCACAAAGGTTACTATTTGCCATCTTTCCCAAGCAAAGTTATAACACAAAGTTGTATTCAAGCGTCATTTTCACTATCACTAGACGTTGATTCACCGTGGATACGACTCAGATCAAAACAACTACCAAGTTTATCTGGTGCTCTTTCGGGTAAAGTATACGGTATCACAGAGCCTGCAAAAAATGACGGTTCCTCGATCTGATTTTCTTTGGGAAGTAGAGGTGGGTCGAACGGTTTCTTTTCCGTGGATTCCTCTGCTCCTTCGTCCAATCGAGCAGTGTTCAAATAATCATGCAAGAAGTCATCTTCTGAATCTGAATCTAGTCGTTTTGGTTGTTGCTTCAACATGGCGTCGTCTTCAACATTCTGATGCGGAGATGGCGCGAAGGGGTCTGTCTGGTTCTCCTTCTCCAGCAATGGGGGATCAAAGTAAGCTTTGTACGATGGTTCTTGGATGCTGTTCTTCTTAGGACTGACGAACACAGGGAATGGACTCTCTGAACGTTTGATCTCTTTTTTTATCGGACAAAAGCGTCCGATATCTTTATCGACTGTTCCAGAAACTATTTTCTGATTTAACTGTCGAATACTGTTGAAAAACATGGGGGTTGTGGTTTTTCTCTTGATTTCTTGGCATCGAAGCTTAAATAAATCTAACGGTGGTATTTTAATTTGTTCATCGTGTGTTTCATCAGGTGTTTCGCTCTCTGTCTGATATTTGTCAGCGTGTTTAGAATGGACCGATGTCGGGTAAGATATCACGCCATTGTCAAGTTTATGTTGTATTTCTCTGGTAGAAAGGTGAGGTAAAACCCGCTTTACCATGGTGATGGTAGCTATATTCTCTGTCGTCATTTTATAATTTGTAAAAAAAACCTGGTTTTGTGCCCTGTTGATTAATATAGTATTCCTTTTACTACACGATGTACAGACTGTAGGGCCCATTAGCTCACAGCAATGGTTCTGGACAATTGACGATACTTCTGATTCGGCAACACTATGAGGGCGATAATGATTATCGTGTAAAGTATCCATGGGGATACTATCCATTGTGGATCGTTTAAGTAAGATCGGTTTATTTGTAAGCTGTCGCGGTTTGTTGAACTGACTTATACAAGACTGCGGTCTTGACATCTCTAACTGACTTTGAAAACTTCGTCTACCCATTTCTACAGTTTTTCGTTTATGCTTCCCAGAAGAACTTATCCTTTTTCTTTCAACAAAATTATACACTTCATCCAACTTTACTACAGTTTCAGCACACCCATCTGTAGTTGCCCATTTGGAAGGCAAAGACATCTTTACCATTGGGTACTTCCGGTTGCCCTGAAAGCAGAAATAATGAATATGCGCTACTAAAATATTGTTTCAAAATGGCGAATATGGTTTTAAAAAAACCCCATTAATTACAAAAGCCTAAATTTATGGAACAGAATACAGATTGTCTGTGTATTTACGTACAAGTAATCGGGATAGAAAACCACGAAAAAGTTGCATTAAAAACGTATAACATGTAGATCTATCCAGACAGGTTTTATAAAGATTTATATACTATACACTACTATACTATGTAAATATCTATAAAGTAGAGACATATATTTATAGGTATACACTGTTATATCTACTACAAATTGTTTACTTACTTATCTCCGACTAGAGTATGTCAATAAATATAAGTAATAATATCTATGTAAACTTCCTTTACTGTTATTTTTATGTTACGTTTATTCGTAAATGACACGAACGGACAGCAACAGTTGTTTGCGAAAATTGGGACCATCAACAGTTTCTTGATCCAATGCTCTTTTCTATAATAGCGTACTTTGCTTAACGATTTCCAGGGGTAGGGCGCAATAATTTTAACAAAAGAAAATAACCGTAATTGACATTATAAGACCACAGGGTGGTTATTGACGGTCCAAAAAAGTGTCCATGTGACGAAATTACAATCAACACATACAACGTTTTGTCATGGTTGACAAACACTTCAAAGATTATCTTTAAATTACGGTCAACAAAACTTTGGGTGAAAATATAGAAATAAAGTTACATACCGGCGAGGCTCTAGTAACATGGTAGAGGGGCCTTTGAGTTGGACAATATAGATCAAAAGCTGGCCACAAACGATGTCCAGTTACAGCCAACACATCTCCATTGTTTTGTCCTGGATTATGATCAGCACCCATGTTGATTTCTTGACATCAGTCAGGTTGACATGTTTATCCTCGATTGCTCATAAATCTGAACATCAGTTTAACAGTTTGAAAATGAGGTGTTGACAGCTGAAATATAGTATTGTTTATTTATTAGTCCTATATATCTGTGATCTGATTAAAGTGACATGCAGCAACAGGGGCGGATCTAGGAAATTTGAAAAGGGGGGGGGGCGCTGCAAAATGAAGGCATTGACCGCAGAGACGGGGCACGCCGCTGTGGGGGGGGGGGGGGGTGATCCCCAAGAAAATTATCCGTCATTTCCTTGCATCTGTAGCCATTCCAAGAGCTATTTCCCAGACTGGTGTGTTTGAGTCGATGGTTTGAGTCATTTGGGATCCCTACAACGGGTTGGGAACGGACATATTTGAGTCTGAGAAAAGGCACTTTCAGCAGTAAAAAAGGGCACTGTCGAAAATTAGGGGGGCGCGAGGGGCGCCCCCCATTGAATCCGCCTCTGAGTAACTTATACGATTTAAAGGGCACTAGTATATTATAGAGCTTTTGGTGGTGACTGTCAACACTCTGATTTGGTCATGAGTAGCCTAGAGTTTAAAGTTATTTTGAATATGATATTCTCATTTAATTACATTGATTTTCCAGGTGATAGACACAGTGTCTTTTTAAAAAGGATGTGTGATTTTAATTTTTCGGAATGTTGTAGACAACAGTTAAAGAAGTTATTTAGACATTGTGTTATTAGCAAACACGCTTTAAATAAACATAAACATTGATCTACAACAGTGATTCTCAACACAGGTGTGCCGCGAGATCTTCCTAAGTGTGCCGCGAAATTTAGAACGGCACACAAAAAAATGTGAAAAACCACGTGATCCCAATTGAGCATCCACTGGTGCCTACTGATAAGTCCATAGCTGTGTTTTTCTTTATTTAGTTTGAGTCATTCTATGTGTCTATGACTAGTCCCTGTCTACGGTTGTATGCCGTCTGACTTATCATGTTTTATTTTGCAAAATTCAAATATTGTTCATATATATACTATTCAAAAAAAGTAGGGGATATTTGATTTTTAAGTGTTATTAAAGTCACCTAATGAAACTGACGAATAAACAAATGACAAAATGAAATGAAGTTCACATTCATCGATTTATTCCAAATGATCGTTAAACTAAGTAAGGCACAGACTGACCATTATAAGGGTAAAATGATACCCGGGGTCAAACAGCAAAGTTACCACAGCATCACAACCAAGTCAGTAACGGGTAAATCCTCCTCTGTTTGCCAAACAAGCATTGATCCGACGTGGCATACTCCTAATGAGACGTCTAAGGTCATTTTGGTCCAGATTGTCCCATTCCTGTTGCAACGCAGCAGCAAGTTCTTGGACATTGGCAGGACGTTGTCGACGTTGACGTAACCTCTGTCCAAGCATGTCCCAGACATGCTCGATGGGGGAGAGGTCGGGACTCAGTGCTGGCCAAGGTAATGTGGTGATGTTCTGTTGTTGGAGGTAACCTGTAACGATCCTGGCCCTGTGACATCTTGCGTTGTCATCCTGGAAGATGAAACGGCGGCCATGACGTCGTGCGAACGGCACAACATGGACTGCCAAGATGTTGTCCCGGTAGTACTGGCCTGTAACACGCCCTGCAACAACATGTAAAGCCGTTCTTCCAGCAACAGTGATGCCTCCCCACACCATAACAGAACCACCCCCAAATCGATCATGTCTGATGACGTTAACGTCTTGGAAGCGCTCGTTTCGACGACGCCACACCCTCCTACGTCTGTCCAAAAAATCAACAGTGAACCTTGACTCATCTGAAAACATCACATTGCTCCAGCGTCGATTATCCCAGTGTTGACGATCCCTACACCAACGACGTCTTGCCTGAATGTGATGATCTCTCAAACAAGGGATCACGCGAGGACGTCGGGCGCGAAGGTGACCCCTATGCAGTCGATTCCGAATCGTCTGGCCACTCACTCTCACACCAGTGTCTGTTTGAAGACGAGCGCTGATCTGATTTGCTGTGATGACACGATTTCTCAAGGCCAAGGTACGGATAAATCGATCCTGGGCTTGAGTTGTCGCCCTTGGTCGACCTGAGCGTGGTCTGTCCTGTACAGATTGTGTATCACGGTATCTGGACCATAGCCTGCTTATGACAGACTGAGAAACATTCATCGTCCGCGCCACAACCGCCTGTGTTGTGCCGATCTGTAGCATGCCAAGGGCACGTAACCTTTCATTTTGGGTAAGCCGACGCATATCAAAATTTGTTTTCTGGTCACTAAAACAATTAAACTGATGTTTCCACCCTGGAATTCAATGCCACAATGACTGTAACATTCAAAGTCAGAGTCGTGCAAATCTTGGGTTGGACCCCCCTGATGATCCCAAGCATCACCTGCATTCCATGCGGTAGCTATTGGTGCGTTTGGGCGTCACATGTAACTGGAAATGTTTCTTCTGTTAGGTTCTATAGTGACTTTTTTCGTAGTCATTTGCATATTTTAGTATTATGCCCCCAAAATCAAATATCCCCTACTTTTTTTGAATAGTATATTTAGCCAGGTGTGCGCTTTTTTTTCATGTGTTCCAAGGTGTCCGTTGGCAAAAAAGGGTTGAGAACCACTGATCTACAATTATTATATATAATTATTATATACATATCACATTCATCACTGGTGTATATTTTAACCGTTTGTGGGCACAGTGAATAACGAGTAATCTGATAAAGCTATTAAGGCGTTTTATGAAATTTTTATTTTTGAAATACTAGCTGAAATCAACCTATCCAACAATAAGTTATCGAACAATAAGCGTTGATCAAGTCGGCCAACATTGCTAATTGATAATCAGATTTATATATGAAAATGCAATACACCGTGAAAGATTATCTGGCCGACAAAGTCAAGTCTTATCGTTAGTTAATTAGTTTTATTCAACCTGAAAACTTTACTGCAGATTATCTTTGCATGTACACATAACGTTTACTTCACATATTTACTTGGCTCTAAGCATTTATTTATATATATGACTCAACTTGTAAATATATGGAGGGAATGAAATAAGCGGGAACAACGCCGGAAAAATCACGATGAATTTTCTAGACCAACACCCAGATCGAACAAGGGACCTGGTGGTTAGCGATCCAACGTCTTACTCACTGAGTCACCGCATATAAACAGATGTGTGGGTGGGGGGGGGGGTGCAAGAGGTGGAATGTAACATAGATAAATGGGAATCGCCGTACATATTCAGTAGCGGAGGATGTCATTGGAGTTTGGACTTCATCTGATTTTTTTAGTTGCAGCAGAGACGCCCCATTCTGAAGTGGGGAATACTTGAGGGTTGAATACCCAAAACCCAAAACAGGAACCCAGAAGTTTTTTGGGATAATGTTTGATTCGTGTTCACACATCGTATGGTTTTTACTGTGTTCGATGTTCGTCAAAAATTGTGTCGTAACGTTAATGCCTTCGCGAAAATGACTCTCCGTATCAAGGTTTCCCCTTTATTTATCACTGATCGACTTCAAATTAGGTTGGATATTTTTACATTCATGGGTGTGGAATTATAATGCCTAAGTTCTATTCACTTACAAGAGTTAGGCTTTTTGGGGGCGGGGGCGGCACATGCTCAAGGCTCCAGGGCCCCCACCACGGTTAATCCGGCGCTGAGCGGAGGCAGGTTAACGGGTTATAGATGAAAGACAATGGCAAAGGTGCAAGACGTTGAGAGGTTTTTGGTTCGTCTGGTATCAATAGTCATCTAGAAAACAGCGGTGAATTTAGGGGTCCTTGGTGAAACACTGGGTAATCATCCAGTATTCAATATTCAATATATTGCAAAGGGTATTTTCAGACTGACCCGCAGCGCTCAATTTAAGGGGGACACGGGCCCGTAGCCAGCTCTTAAAATTTGGTGGGGCTACGGAATTTTTTGGAGGGGCTGAGGATGTGGCCGGCTAAGAACGCTCCTAAGAAATCATTATTGTTGGCAAAATATTTGGAGGGGGGGGGGTGCACAATTTAAAGCAGAAAATCAACGATATTTGCAGATTACACAAAATTATGATACAATCTGAAATTTGTCATCTGTATGTCCAGTGTATTGAGAACATAGAATATGGAAGGAAAACAGATGTTATAGCAATCATTCGTGTCGTGTTGTATTGGAGACATCGTATGTAACCAACACTGAAAAGAACTGTAGTGTAGTCTATGGTCAGGGGCTACGTGCGAGGGACTCAATGACGCGCTTTGCGTCATAGTTTTGAGTTTTTGCGCCCTCTCGCAAATGGTAAAAATCACGCGGTTTCAATAAGTATAATCATAATGCTTAACCAGTATCAAACGTATACCGTAGGTCGGACGGATATGCTACAAATTGACTCGAGCATGTTTCACACAGTCCAACATTACTCGGCAGCCCCCCCCCCCTTCCACGCACACACATATATTGGGTTTTTTTTGGGCCCGGGCGGGATCTTATTCCTTTCGCCAAATCATTGGTCACCACGCCAATGTCTATGGTGTACAGCTGGCAAGACAGTAGATACAAATCCTAACAAGCTTAGTAGACAGTTTTGTATTTATTTTGACACCTAGGTTATAGGTATGTACTGAAGTAAGTTTATTCTTATTTCCAAATAACGTGCCCGTTGTAACATTTTTTCCTTGATAAAATGGTTTTAAGTGGTTTTATTCCATATTTGAATTAAGGCTTAAAATAAGGAATTATCTTACCTGTAGATGGCAATAGGAGTACATCTATGTTGAAATCAAATAAAGTATTGAAGGACAAACATTTCCGTGTATGAATCACCATTTTAACACCACCTGCACGAAACCATGGAAGTTACTAAAAGTACCGTAATAATATAACTAGCAGTCGTTGTTCTCGTAACGTATAGTTAATGTGTTTAATATCGGATTTGTTTTCGTTAATCGCCTCACAACGGCCGTCGATTAAGCTCCATTTAGTCAAAAATGCTAATCATTCAGCCATACGATCGGCTTTAGATCCCATACACTCCCACACAGTTTTTCAGCGTCATCAAGGACAGCGGGTCTCAGAAATTTGTTGATATTAGACACTAGGGTATTCACAAGGTCCTAATATGTAATCCAAGACAATAACTTTGGAAATTAAGGTGTGATCCCACCGCCAAGAATGAAATGTCAGACGATCGATTCATGTACGACAACGGCAAATTAGTATTTGGGGAGCGGTGGGGGTAATTGCCGAAGTAATTCCAGTATTGTGTCCGCGGCCAGTCGACTGTTAGTGACGAAGACTGTCTGGGGGTGCAGCAACTAGAAAATGTTCCAATATAGCATTATTTATGGTTTTGCATATGAAAACCCACTCATGAAATGAGGTTTAATATTCTACTTTTGTACACCAAAAGAGCTGATTAAGATGGGCATACCATGCAGTGAACAATGAAGGAAATTTTGCCTGAATAGCGGCATTCCTGCTCATTCTTTATCCAATTCACACTGCTAATGTGTACATGGGACCTCAGTCTTTTGTTCTATCCGAGCAACTACACACTGTTTATTGCCAGGGGAAAACAAATTGAAATATCCTGAGACATTTTCTCAGCCAACACTGTGATGGAAGCACTGACCTTCGGGTTAATTAGCCAAACGTTCCTTACTAAGTCTCTATTCATTTCCATTGCATTGCCCCTGGGGTAACCAAATCTCTTTATACATGAAAATGCATTTTCTTCCACACACCCCTCCCAAACATTGTGGGCAAATAAAACACATAACAGTAGATTATCTTAAAATAGATTATTATAAATAGAATACACTTAATCTTCATATCATACTGGTTGCTACGTAAACAATCTCTATACACATATGTACATTTTCTATAGATATGATCAGCATCCACATATCTTACACATTTTATATAAAACACACTATTTCAATCAATTAGTATCCATCAGTCATATTTATTATGTTGATTCAATTTGGGTTTCGCAACATCCCCTTGGGTCCCTTCCCCACGGTTCCAACTGGTGGACGATCAACTGAATATCAATAGATTGGGTAATAAATCCTCAGAGATCCAACAAAATTTGGATTATTGTTGTACGAACCAGGAAGATGATTAGCGGTTGGGAATCAGATCCTAGTCCAACCAGCGGTTGCCAGGCAAGATATGCCCACATTTTGCAAGAGATGGATAGAGATCAAGCTAATAACAAAAACGATTTTTGGTACAATAAGGGGCCATAATCCAGAAAGTTATGGTCAAAAGGAACTGAGATCTTTGGGATACATTTTAAGTTTCATCAAAATCAGATAAAAATTGTGACCTCTAAAGGGTCTACAACCTTCATATTACATACTTTTACACAACTTGCGTACAAAGAAACAACATTTTATTGGGCAGTTTCGTTTCGATTTCCCCAGAATTCGAATTCAACCTAGATTATGGTGGATGGTGATATATTTAAACGGTTTTTAAAATCGGATAAAAAATTGTGACATCTAGAGCATCCACAAACTAAAAAATAGGTTGCCAGGCAACGAAATCAAGGGCCATAATTCAAGAAGTTACGATCCGATCATTGGGTTATAAACTGGCATCAAAATCAGATGAAAATTGTGACCTCTGTCTCCACAAGCTAAAATCGTGATTTTTCATACAAGTTTCGATCCGATACACGCCAATATCGAAAGGAAAAATTGGATAAAAATTGTGACCTGTAGTCACAGGGGCAACGGCATAATACGTCCACATGAAAATGTGGGCGTATAAAAATTCAGGCATTGAATGATTATATTGGTGATCAAACAGGCATTCGAACTGCATATAAGCTTTTGACAATGTACAATAATTTACTTTCTAATTTTTGAGTCAACTATAGTATTTTTTCCTAGTCATTAGAAATATACTCTTCAAAAAAATTAGGGGATATTCAGAAACAATACAAAACTGCGGAAATGCACTGCTGTTTCTATTAGAGGTAACCAGTGTATGTTAATAACTGGCCAATTGCCTACACATGAACATAAACAGTTCATATAGGCGACTTATCTGACGGCCCCATTTCAATCGCAAAGAGATATCCTGTCAAAAGTGAAAATGGACGTTTTTGATTTAATAATGATTAATTGCTTCACCAATCCTCAGATATTCAGCAATTCGTCAGGGCATGCTCCTAATTAACTGTCCAATCACGATTTGGGACAATCTGACCCACTCCTCTTGCAGTGCCACAGCCAATTCTTGCAGTGTTGTCGGTTGACGTTGACGAACACGTCTCCCGATTAAATCAAACGTAACACACTAAAGCAAAGATATGCTAAACAGTAAATCTTATGCAAGAACCGATAGGAAAGCAAACATGGATAGGATAAACCAACAATCGGCAGTTTTCATCAACCCTTCCTTGAAGTGTCAAATATGACAATGAATCCCTCCCGCTTGTATTGCGCTATTGCGTGTCGGACGTGCAGCTCAGTGGTTCTGTTGGAGCGATAAGTTCTTCATCTGTGAACATACTCTCAAAGCATGTCAAGTGTCAATGACTATTTATCATATCACAACCTGCATAGGTATTTGCATTTCAATATCCCCTACTTTTTTTTGAAGAGTATATTATATTTCCAAATATAACAAAATTTGTAGTTCAACAATGAATATTTAAGTTCACTGCATTGCAGAATAAAAGTTTTACAATGAGAGTATTCATACAAAACAAAGAACAGTTGTTACAGGACCAAGGTTATTAACAGACAGATGTGCTTTTGTCCAGAAAGCTGTTTCCAACTACATGTACTCTATTTGGGATTTGAAAAGTCACTGAATTTTTCTTGGTTTAATGATTCTAGTTTACATTGTCATGTTTCTAGACAAACCGGATGGAAAAAACTCTAATACTTGAGAAAGCAAGAGACACGGTTTAACACATGGTACAATGTTTTTCATTTCAATAGGGTTCTTTAGTAGTGGGAGGAAACCGGTTGGGCAGACAAACTTTAACATGAACTTGAAAATGTATAGCTTTTTTAAAGAATACCGATATCATTAAACATACATTATGCAAGAGCTAAATCTGCCAATTGCAGGTCTTTCTTTAGGCCTGAAATGTTATCTAAATTATTAATTAGACATTAATTAACTTATCCAGACCATAATCAACTCTCGATTGCATCGCTAGCCTGCGATATTTACACGATTATAATCCGAACTGATGCTCAACGCTCATTGAGTCATTCATGATGATCGAGGCTAGGCCCAAAATTCAATCGCTACATTCACGGTTCAGAGTGGATCAATTTGACTGAAATTTTCAGCAAATTCCCTTTACATTATCTAGTTTTTAACTATTATAGTGAGAACTGCCAGCTCTTTATCTAATCTCCCATAATGTATCTTTAATATCCATGGATATGATAATAATGAATAACCAAACAAATTTCACTTTTAATTTGTACATGTGGTCACTTGCACCCAAGATATTTGATTTGAAGTGTCATTGTCAAATTTGGGGAAATTGCAATATTTAACTAGTGTTATTACGAATATTTGATAAATCGGGCCTGTCACGCATCTATAAATTCCACTTGGGTAATTGGCTTTAATCGGAATACGATGAAAACACTTCTATTACAATGTTTTGATGTTCTTACATGGAGCTTTAACATGCAACAGGTATTTTTCTGTCTTCACAGTTATAACATGTGGCATTATATGTATAAACATGTACTGACAGATAAAGTGAAAGAGAGTGAGAGAAATGTGGTTTAACGTCCACTCGAAACCAACTACACAATTCGACCAACCAACCTCCCAACTGACAAAGCAAAATAGGATACATAGGATGACAGAGCACTGAAATTACTCATAAAAGCATCCACAATTCTGAAATCCTTTTCAACATTTTATACGATCCATTAAAGTAAACCAAACATATATTTCAGATTAGGGTTTGGAAAATTTAGGTGGTGGAGGTGGCATCATGTTATTGTCAGCTGGTCGTTTTTGTCCATGGTTTTGTTGTTTACTAGGCGTCCATCGTTCATTATTAATAGTTTGAAATAGAATTTGTTTAGTAACAGGGTTCTTAATACTTTCACAAACACCTTTAGCTGTATTAAAACTATTGGGGAAGGATTTATCTGTTCTTTGTCTCATAAATTTCCATGTTGTACCATCCCACATACACTCAATTATCTTATTATCTAGTGCTCGTAGTTCTTTATTAACCTAAAATACACAAAATAAAAAATGAATTCTTATAATATTTACAGACAGACAGACAGAAATGGGGTTTAACATCCACTTGACACAAACTAGGTCATTTCGGGACTAACATGGTTCAATTTTATTTCAATAATTCACTTGCGCGTAGGGGTCTTTAGCAGTGGGAGGAAACCGGAGGACCCGGAGAAAACCCACGAGATTGGACAGGCGACCCTACTCCTTGCCACGTACAACCGGGGAATCGAAACCCCGCCAGTTGACTCAATGACAGACCGTATGATACAGCACGCGTGTGCTAACCATTCGGCCATCCAACCCCCCTAAAATATTTACAAGCCTGTCATTGATTACAAATCTCAATTTCATTGAGAAAAATTAGCAACTGTCCATTAATTACAAATTATGTGCATATTCCCATCCAACATGATTTTTTTCTTTATTTTGGGGGTGGGGGGGAGGGGAGGGAGTAAAAGGGTAATATTTTCTGTGGGTGTAGTACAATGCATTGGTATTTTTTCTGATAACTTAAAATCTGATTTGTAGATTGCGAATACAAGTTAAATTGCAATGACAATATAAATATAAATACTACAGTTTACATTAGATATACCTTCATTTCTCCAAAGGGTGGTTCCAGACCACCAACAAATAAATAACCTTTTGTCTGTGGTAACATGCCTTCTTTCTGTTCTTTCACAATTTTCAATCTGAAGTCTACAGAATTTAAATCTGGTGGTTTCCATTTTAACACATCGTCACATCGACCTGGATTGTAGGGATCGGCAGCGGGTTGGAAAATCAATCCATCTACTTCATGACTAACTTCCTTAGAAAATTTACCATCTAAGAGTTTTTCTGACATTGTCACATCCCAAAAGGGTTTGCTACGGATACTAAAGGGTTCTTTATTTTTATCCAACATTCCATGCTGTATCTTGGCATGGCGGGGGCCGATAATTTCTTTTTGTATGCATAACAAGCGTCTATCAAAATCCGTTTTACCTACTTCCTGTCCTTCAAACCGTAGAATATCGTAAACAAGGTATCGCGGTACAATAACATCATCAACTTTATCTAGAATCATTTCACCATCAAGTAATGTACTATGTAAATGAGCTGTTAAGTCTTTACGTTTGGGAAAATCTACGTTAGAAACATGAAACACTGCATTGTCTCTGTCAATCATATAAACTTCATTATTACCATCAATTAACATCATATATCGCGTGCCGTCTGCCTTCCAGCTCACTTTATATGGTTTCTGTCGTATAAAGTTGAGATTTCGGATATCCATGGAAACAGGTTGTGAACCAGGAAAGCCGTTCTTCTTCCATCCAGACATTTCCTGACATTTCCTCTGTAACTGACTTAAACGTGGTTGCCCAGAGACTATACTGACACCTGAAATTCCCTCCATGAATTTGGCATCTTTTTTAACAAACTCTTTCCGGAAGTTACCATTTCTTTTGCCTTTTCCGGCATTTCCATCAGTACCCATGTCATTTCCGTCATCGTCCACACTGTCGTCTGCTTCAGAACACCAACTCGGCATTGCTGGTGCAGCAGGAGTATCATCGATATCTCCATAGCGACCAAACAACTCATCTAAATATTCCTGTTTATAAATACCCGGTGGTCTTGTTTCAGCAAAGACACGGACAGCAGCTTCAACGCTCCAATCAAATCGTTCCACAAGAAAAGCTACGATTAGAAAACCAGTCCTATTAAAACCATGGGTACAATGAACACCTATTAATTCTAATGGTTTCTGTTGTTTAAATCTAGCACAGAGATTAACGAAAGCTTCAGTCTGCTCTTTGGTTGGTGTTTCGGCTCGACCTTTACAGCACAATTTGACATATTTACATTCAAGTTTTTCTACGAGGTTGCTGTCATAAAATCGTGTTGTGTTCGTTAAATCGATAAATAAACCTATTTTTTTCTTGTAGATTTTAACAGAGTTAAACAACATATCAACATTAAATATACATTCATCAGGAATCTGATCACTATATTTTTCACTTAAAGGAGTTTTAAACGGAATAAACGTATCTTCTATAATTTGCCCTTTGCGAGGGCAGTTCAGCCATCGAGGGGGGATTAACTCCCACTTTTCCTTACGACTCATTGTGTTTCTTATGCTTTATTGTGGGATGTGAATGAAATTAACTACCAAACTACTGATTCAGTAGATTATCATCTTTTGGTCAGATACATGTATCTATCAGTGGAGATATACTTTAATCTGCAAAATATAAAATTTAAAGATTTTCATGAAGGTAAAAATGATGCTAGTGATAGCTGTGGTGTTTTAAAATAGTAATAATACAAAGAAGTGATCAGTTATTTATCTCAAATTATCCTAACCACAGATCCCATTTAATCTGTATATTAAAAGTCTAACAATTTGTTTCTTTTTTATAACTCATGTTATAATTCAACTAAGAAAAATTGAAGCACACTTTATTCTGATAGAGACCTCTTCCGAATCCTTGATTTTTATAAACCAAAACTAAACTTAAGCTCGTGATCAATGGGATTTTTAAATGACAAGCAGGAAACTGTGTTCTATTCCATATACCTTACCCAGTATTTCAATATCAATTATTTCTGACTGGGGGTTGCACAAAAAAGCATTGATTTCTCTTTAGCTGATGGCATAAACACAAAAAACCAGCGGCTGCCAGGCAGGATTACGCCCACATTTTCGAGAGATGGATAGAAAACAAGCTAAAACGAAAGTAATTTTTCCTACAATCGAGGGCAATAATTCAGGAAATTACAATTCGATATGCGCAAATATCGAAAGGAACCAAGATCTTTGAGTTATAAATTTACATTTCAAGTTTCAACAAAATCGGATAAAAATTGTGACCTCTATAGGGTCCACAACCTTGATATACCATATTTTTACGCGGCTATTTTGTCTGTCAGTTTTGGGCCGATTTTCAGGAAATTTGAACTCAGTCGTCCTTAGGGTGTAACGGTGATATAATAATACGTTTTTTCAAATCGGATAAAAAATTATGACCTCTATAGGGTCCACAAGCTAAAAACGCGATTTTTCGTACAATCAGGGGCCATAATTCAGTAAGTTACGATCCGATATGCGCGAATATCGAAAAGAACCAAGATCTTTGGGTTATAAACTTACATTTCAAGTTTCAACAAAATCGGATAAAAATTGTAACCTCTGATATACCATATTTTTACGCTATTTGAGAACGAAGGGCGGCCATTTTATCTGTCAGTTTTTGGCCGATTTTCACGAAATTAGAACTCAGTCGTCCTTAGGGTGTAACGGTGATATAATAATATGATTTTTTAAATCGGATAATAATTATGACCTCTATAGGGTCCACAAGCTAAAAACATGATTTTTCGTACTATCAGGGGCCATAATTCAGGAAGTTTCGGTCCCATATGCGCGAATATCGACAGGAACCAGATCTTTGGGTTATAAACTTACATTTCAAGTTTCAACAAAATGGGATAAAAATTGTGACCTCTATAGGGTCCACAACCTTGATATACCATATTTTTACGCTATTTGAGAACGAACGGCAGCCATTTTGTCTGTCAGTTTTGGGCCGATTTTCACGAAATTAGAACTCAGCCGTCCTTATGGTGTAACGGTGATATATTAACACGTTTTTTTAAATCGGATAAAAATTATGACCTCCATAGAGTCCACAAGCCAAAAAACGCGTTTTTGCGTACAATCAGGGGCCATAATTCATGAAACTACGGTCCGATATGCGCATATATCGAAAGGAACTGAGATCTTTGTGTTATAAACTTACATTTCAAGTTTCAACAAAATCGGATAAAAATTGTGACCTCTATAGGGTCCACAACCTTGATATACCACATTTTTACGCTATTTGAGAACGAACGGCGGCCATTTTGTCTGTCAATTTTGGGCCGATTTTCACAAAATTCAAACTCAACTGTCCTTAGGGTGGAACTGTAATATAATAATACGTTTTTTTAAATCGGATAAAAATTATGACCTCTAATGGGTCCACAAGATAAAAACATGATTTTTCGTACAATCAGGGGCCATAATTCAGGAAGTTAAGGTCCAATATGGGCAAATATTGAAAGGAACCGAGATCTTTGGGTTATAAACTTATATTTCAAGTTTCAACAAAATCGGATAAAAATTGTGACCTCTATACGGCCCACAACCTTGATATACTATATTTTTACGCTATTTGAGAATGAACGGCGGCAATTTTGTCAGTCAATTTTGGGCCGATTTTCATGAAATTCAAACTCAGTCGTACTTAGGGTGTAACGGTGATATAATAATACGTTTTTTTAAATCGGATAAAAATTATGACCTCTATAGGGTCCACAAGCTAAAAACGCGATTTTTCGTACAATCACGGGCCATAATCAAGGAAAATACGGTTCGATGTGCGCGATTATCGAAAGGAACCGAGATCTTTGGGTTATAGACTTACATTTCAAGTTTCAACAAAATCGGATAAAAATTGTGACCTCTATAGGGTCCACAACCTTGATATACCATATTCTTACGCTATTTGGGAACGAATGGCGGCCATTTTGTCTGTCAATTTTAGGCCGATTTTCACGAAATTTGAACTCAGTCATCCTTAGGGTGTAACGGTGATATAATAGAACGTTTTTTTAAATCGGATAAAAATTATGACTTCTATAGGGTCCACAAGCTAAAAACGTGATTTTTCGTACTATCAGGGGCCATAATTCAGGAAGTTACGGTCTGATATGCACGAATATCGAAAGGAAGCGAGATCTTTGGGTTATAAACTTACATTTCAAGTTTCAACAAAATCGGATAAAAATTGTGACCCCTATAGGGTCCACAACCTTGATATACCATATTCTTACGCTATTTGGGAACTAACGGCGGCCATTTTGTCTGTCAATTTTGGGCCGATTTTCACGAAATTCGAATTCAGTCATCCTTAGGGTGTAACGGTGATATAATAGAACGGTTTTTTAAATCGGATAAAAATTATGACTTCTTTAGGGTCCACAAGCTAAAAACGTGATTTTTCGTACAATCAGGGGCCATAATTCAGGATGTTACTGTCCGATATGCGCAAATATCAAAAGGAACTGAGATCTTTGGGTTATAAACTTACATTTCAAGTTTCAACAAAATCGGATAAAAATTGTGACCTCTATAGGGTCCACAAGCTAAAAACGTGATTTTTCGTACAAACAGGGGCCATAATCCATGAAGTTTTGATCCGATACATGCCAATATCGGAAGCAGCCGAGATCTTTTGGGGATAAACCTATATTTCAAGTTTCGTCGAAATCGGATAAGAATTGTGACCTGTAGAGAGTCCACAAACAATTGTGGACGGACGGACAGGGGCGACGGCATAATACGTCCACATGAAAATGTGGGCGTATAAAAATGGTGCTAGTCATTTGTCAATATATTCATTATTAGCTATATATAATAATAATAACCATTTCTATACATAAAGAACAACTTTTATCGTAACTCCATTTGAAATTTTCAGTGAATATGGAATTTTCCGATGACTATGCAGAACATGTACAATAGATCGCACTCATTTCTCTGCTAATCAACGCCGGGAATCTTATTACCATGTACTGTTCCATGTACTACGGGTGTAGTAAATGAGGTTAAACTTTGGCGCGAAAATTGCACGGGGTCATACGCGGAGTTCCTGTAGGCACTCTAAATTGGATCTTAAATTAAAATGAATTACAAAACAAATTATTCCGTAGTCAATTGTTTTATTTAATTAGGGGGATTAAGGAATCCTTCAGGCGTTAAAGAATACACACGCCGGCTGTAGATAGGTAATTAAGGAATAAACATTTTGGGCCAGTTTAATTGAAAATTAACGGAGTTATAATAATAGGCCAGTAACTTTTTTATCATCAAATGACTACACAACTTGCTCAAAGGAAGTCCTTAGAACGATTCCCTACTGTGGCTGAAGCAAGGCAGAAGACATCAGTTGTGGAACCATTTCTTGCGGAAATGATAAAATTTGATAATATTATATATTATATTATATCTGACTTAGTTTTTTTACTTTTCTTTAGGTTCAATATGTTTAGTTTGTTGATAGATGTAGATAGACCTATCTAATCATATATTGATATTCCCAATCTTTGAAATTGTTTACAATTTTCATAAGATAACTGTGGCCACGTCATTCACTTGTGGTTTATATTAATTTATTAATGAAATCTGGAATCAGGAATGTAGGGCACATTCAGATTCACATATGATTGAGTCGATTGACATTCTTCCTCCACTCCAGATGAGTATGGTAAATAGGGTCGATCAGAACTTCATATTTCCTTTCAGTGTTTAATAAAGTAACCACCTTAACCTGTGGTTAGGCCTATTCATTTTTCTAACACGTCATCAAACATAAAATTTGTTTAAAAGACTTCAAATCAACTGAAATCAAAGCAAACCAAAACAACATTTTGCTTACTTTTTCTTTTAATATTCTTGACTTCCGGTTTTGTAACAGAGTAACCTCCCCTATAAAAGAGGCCCAAGGGCTGAATTAACCCATCAGTGCAAATAATGGCCAAATGCTAGCTAAAATAAAGTGTTTATTATTCCCATTTTTTAAAAAGCTGATTTTTTGCAAAGAAGCACACATCTAAGTAGGCCTAATCAAAACACGTGTGCGATTATTTCATATGTTGAGGAATGGTTATAGAAGTTTATGTCGGCGCTATTGCACTTTCGCACCTCTACCAGTTTCCCTTGTCGTAGAGACTTGAAATTTTCAGGGGATGTTAAGGGTGACTAGCAATGACCGCACACCAAATTTCAGCCGAATCGATAAATAACTTTTTATTTTACCGACCTTTTAATTTCTAACGGGCGAGAAGTTCATCCGTTCGTCGCCATTTAGACTCGAATAACAAGACACGAAGACGGATTCCGACACACTGCGCTAGCTGCCTAACACTGCAGTTCATAAAATTTAATAATTATTTTCGTATATTTTAAATTTTGCGCTTTAAGCCACCAATTTCTATAAAATACTATTTGGCGTTGACCAGATGGATTGGCCTTTACGTGTGAATATCGCCGTGACCATGACGCTGACTTCAAATTTTCCATCGAGTTTGGGACCTTTGCGCTTATAAGTGCTACGCCCCTATTTCTTGCTGTATTATCGAGGTTAATGCCCGGGGTGAAAGCAGAGAAGATGCCCTTAAGAAAAGATGATTTGGTCAAAGTCGTAGGTCAAGGTCATGTTACAGAAAACTGAACTTAAACATTTCAAAGTCAGTTTTGAGACATTTGACCTTGACTTACGACCTTGACCCCGTAACCATTTTCAAGGGCCATCATCTTGGCTTGAACCATCGACGTTTACCTTGGTCCTGTCGCACACTGCTAGGTCAGAAAACGGTCAAACGCAGAGGGCCCGTGTACGAAAGGAAGTCAATGGGCGCGGTCAATATGAAAGGTCGTAGTGACCTCCACTAGTCAACGCCAACCAACCGTGACCTTGACCTTGAGTCCAAACTTCCCCTCCATCTCGGGGCCTTTGCGTTTATGCTTGCCCTGGCCTTATTTCTTACTGTATTATCAAAGTTAATGCTCGAGGTGAAAGCAGAGACGACGTCCTTCAGAAAAGATAACTGGGTCAAAGTCGTGGGTCAAGGTCATGTTACAGAAAACTGAACTCGAACTTTTCAATGTCAGTTTTTGGACATTTGACCTTGACTTAGGGCCTTCACCTCTTACAAAATTTTATACGCCACCACCGTGGCTAGGACCACCGACCTTTACCTGGGTTCTTTCACACACTGCTTGGTCAGAAAACGGTGAAACGCAGAGGGGCCGTGTTTAGATTATTAAAATAGTTTAATGTGGGTGTATATAATCCAATATGGTTTAATAAAATTAACATTATAGTCAACCACGAGAGGGTGGGTTCGGTCTAGATTTATACATTTTAAACAATTTTATCCTCAAATTCGTGTAGGCCTACAATCACTCGGCAAACCTCAACAGATTCCAGTACCCTACATCTAATCTCGGCTGTATGACAAAGTCTGCCATTAGAACTACTTTCAAGTTCCCGGATTACAATGGCATTGTCCATGACGACCAATGACGTCATTGATGACGACGTATTTGAAGAATGTTTTATCTTACAAAATTTTCAAAGTTTGAAGCTGTTTTTCTTTCAAGTTTATCCGATTTTCTTTAGACAAGGACAAATATGCACTGAAAATTCTACACACTCTTCGGACGACGCAATTTTGAGAACTTCTTTCTAAACGCGGGCAAGTTTCCCTTATAAGTAAACCGGTGCCGCATCGAAAATGTATAGGCGTAGGTACATATCACTTACTGTCATACAGCCGAGGCTAGATGTAGGGTACCGGAATCTGCCGAGGTTTGCCGAGTGGGCTTACAATACGGCAGTCAGATAACCAATAAAGGGGAGGGGTGGGGTATAATTATATTAACGTTGGTTGCAGTATAATGTAATCACTACGATAGAACGAAACCGCAGTTTACAGCGAGATTGGGGAGGGGTATAATATTTATTAATGTTCGCTATAGAATATAGTAATATCTACTATGGGGTTGGGGAGTATAATATTTATTAACGTTGGTTATAGTATAACGTAATGACTACGATAAAACCAAACGGCGGTCTGCACCGAAATGAGGGTTTTGGGTAATAATTGATATTGATAATATTTATTATTAACACAAATTTTAATACGCAATACTTTTTATTATTGTAAAGTCATTCCACTATAAATTACATTTATCAACACATGCGTATTAACAGGTGTCAAACAACAGTGGGGTGGAAAATTTATAATATTTTCATAGCGTCACATAGTTCAGCCTCTATATGTCTGCAATAAGTCTATATTGTACTAAAGTACCAGGGGTTCTTGATAATGCTGTATATAACTGACTGTATATTAATGAAAAGAAATGAAATGGCGTCTGCTCCGACTGGGTTAATAGACGGGCATACGCCATACGGTGTGCTAATGATGGAAATTTTGTCCGGACAGCGGTGCCACAGTCTACTCTTATCGAATTCCACAGTCTACTCTTATCGAATTCCAACTGTCAAAGAATCTTTTACGTAAATGCCAATTTGAGGACGGGACCTCGGTTTTTCGTCCCATCCGAACGACTAGACGGTTGTCATTCCATCCGCCCTGCACCACTGAGAAGGGGGACCCAATCCGGAACATCTCGATGAATTTCTCGACCAAAACCGGGAGCGAACGGCGACCTCCAAGGTAGGGCACCAGCGTCTTACCCAGCCACCATGGCTCCCTCGGATTAACGGACGATGGAAATACCGGTCTGTTAGATTTACGCGTCATCTACCAGAACGTCTGGAGAACGAACTTTCGCAATAATGGGCAGGCTGTCAGGTGTATGGGTTGTTAACTATATAAAACTAGTAAAAAGTCTGAAAAACGAATTGCCGTATTAATATATGTTCGTAATAACGGTTGGCATATGTACAGGGCTTTAACTGTGTATTTAATGCTAGAAATACGGGCTCGGGTGAACTGACTTGTAAGGGACGATCGATTTAATAGCCCGCAGGTCGATGATAGCTATTTAAATTGGTTACAGACTGAAGGTCGAATGTCCAAAAACTGACTATGAAAATTTTGAATTCTCTGCTTTCACCCCGGACATTAACCTCGATAATACAGCAAGAAATAGAGGCGCAGCACAAAGCGCGGAGGTCCCGAGCTTGATGGAAAATTTGAAGTCAGGGTCAGCGTCAAGGTTACGGCGATATTCACACGTTAGCGCAAAATTTAAAATATACGAAAATTATTATTAAATTTTATGAACTGCAGTGTTAGGCAGCTAGCGCAGTGTGTCGGAATCCGTCTTAGTGTCTTGTTATTCGAGTCTAAGTCGTCAACAAAGAAAATGGCGACAAACGGATGAACTTCTCTCCCGTTAGAAATTTAAAGGTCGGTAAAATAAAAATTTATTGATCGATTCGGCTGAAATTTGATGTGTGGTCATTGCTAGTCATCCTTAACATCCCCTGAAAATTTCTCTACGACAACGGGAACTGGTAGAGGTGCGAAAGTGCAATAGCGCCGTTTAGGTCTTTTAACTACATTATCTTGACGGAGAACGCTGGATCGGACGGAGACGGTCATGCACATATGGGGCGCCCAACCAATGTCATTCGGCTTTACGGGGGGGGGGGGGGGGCTCGCCAATCATGCCATTATGTATGAGCCCCCACCCCCAATGGTGAGGCGCTTCATAAGATAAGATTTTATTGTATCGAAACGGCCTACAATATAAACATGTACATAAATTTATAACAATATGACAAATAATATATATATTTACAAACAAGACAAATGATAATTTTAATCTAGGTTGCACATCCATTAACAGGACAAACAGTATGATAATCATCTCAGAATACACATTTTCCTCAAACTGGTCTGATAGTGACGCAACATTCAACACAAGTATGATGAATTTCATGGGTATAAATATAATAAATAAATAAATAACAGAAAGACTTAGTATAGGTGTTGACATGGGAATATGGTATAGGAATGGTAGAAGCATTACATGAATCGAGTAATAAAACAGGGGATGAAATATATTAATACATGGAAATCTCGATAATAATTTTGATACACCAGCGACTGCCAGGCAGGATACGCCTACATTTTGCAACAGATGAATAGAGAACAAGCTAAAAACAAACGCGATTTTTTGTATAATCAGGGGCAAAAATCCAGAAAGTTATGGCCCGAAATGTGCAAATATCAAAAGGGACTGAGATCTTTGGGATATAAAGATGTTTTTAAGTTTCATCAAAATCGGATAAAAATTGTGACCTCTCGAGGACCCAACAACCTTCGTATTACACACTTCTTCACAATTTGCATACAAAGAGCGGCCATTTTGTCGGGCAGTTTCATTTCGATTTTCCCGAAATACGACTTAATCTTCATTGTGGTGGAATGGTGATGTATTTAAACGATTTTTAAAATCGGAAAAAAATTGTGACCTCTAGAAAATCCGCAAGCTAAAAATGCGATTTTTCGAACAATCAGGGGCCATAATCTAGGAAGTTAAGTTCGGGTATCCGCGATTATCAAAAGGAACCAACCCATTAGTGTGTAATGGTGATATATTCACACGTTTTTTTTAAATCGGATAAAAATTGTGACCTCTACAGGGACTACAAGCTAAAAACGTGATTTTTTGTTCAATCAAGGGCTATAATTCAGGAAGTTACGATCCGATATGCGCGAATATCGACAGGAACCAATATCTTTGGGTTATAAACATGTAGTTCAAGTTTCATCGAAATCGGATCAAAATTTTATTGTGACCTCTAGAGGTCCACAACCTTGATTTACTAGATGTTTACACTATTTGCGTACGAGGGACGGCCATTTTGT